GTAGGGTAGTTGACTTAACAACTTGCTGCAATCTATACTCTTCATCCTTACTACTCTCTTTAGGGCACTCACCCTACCCAATCACCTTCCACTTCCAATGCTGTAATACCTCGTAGCAATACTCCTGGAGTATACAATAAATCTGTAACACTCTCCGGTATACCTTACCACTCGCCCTCTGTTACATCTGTCCTTACTCTACAATATTATTCAAATAGTCCCATTCCTGCTCCTTCCTCTGGTTTTAGATAACCTATTCTTTAATACACACCTCATACCTCTGCTATCATCAATGAAATTGACAATGAGATGAATCCCGAGTTGGATGTTGAAGAGTTCGATTACGATTATGGTGGTCAAGAAATTGACCAAATTGACCAAATTGACCAGACCGAGGATTTTCTATCTTATACAAAAAAGGTTACCGTATTAACTGGTTAGGAAGATATTATCTTATAATGAAAAAGTTTGAATTTCCATAAGGAAAAACCATACGTTATCATAGAGTTAATACCTTATAATCCAGGTTGCTAAAAATATCGTTATATTTTGAGGCCAGGGAGCTGTCTTACCTCTAAAATGAATCTCTACCAGCTGAATCTACGCATAGGCATTTTCAAGTATCTCCTGCATTCGTATTTATTGTTCTGAAAGCTATTAATGCTATGGTAGAGTCAAAATCGATAATTTAATATGATGATCTGAAAATTTACCCCCCTGATTTTGGGCTCGGCAAGACGCCACTACCCTTACTACAATGACTATCTACCACTTTTACACATTCAACACGTATAATCGCGACTCAGATTTATATATCGTTTTTCATACAGTTTCATATACTTTTTAAAAGATTCAAAAAGGCCTAGGGATTCAAAAGATAATTGGATATGAATATACGTGAATGTCAAGATCTAGTAAAAAATCTCGAAATGGAAAAGAGTATTTTGAATGATTTAAAAGTTTAGATCTATAGATTATTATATAAATTGATAGATCCTCTCTATAGAACCTATTCAAAATATCGATCATTCATTCCATTCTATATTCTACTATATATCCTCCTCCCTCCTTATTCTCTTTCTCTACCTTCACATTATGTCTTCCCAGCTCTCCCAACTCTCTTTAAAGCAAATACATCACGATACCCAAGTTACTAATCAATGCAAATACCCTGGGAGATCTCGCACTCGTCACCCTCTACCAAGCGAACCCGAAAAGGGGCAAATCACTCTATTAGACAGTACTCCTGTCCCTCGAAATCGTCCTGGGACTAAGCCGAATATTCGCAGCATTCAGGTCCCCCTCTTATCGACGGACAACGTCGCCATTGGGTTGATGGAATCAACGAACAAGCTCTTGTAAAAGCTTTCCATCATTTCCGAAATCAAGAAGGTGATTTCGAAACCGGTACTTTTACATATTCCTTTTACCCCCGTGAGTTTAAACTCAGAGCTATTCAATACTATTGATATACCTGGAGAAAGATTAAAGACAATGCTATGATGCCGATTATTATATATTATACAGCAAAAACTCTTGGAATCACTACTACACTTTTCTCCACCTGGCTTTCAAAGGAACAATCGATCGTGAACTCTCCAAAAGAATCCCATAGGACTTTCAATGCATACTAATACATCCACTCTATTATGGAGCAGTGTCTCTACAATAAGTTCTGTTTTTATAAAATCATCGGAAAGTGTATCACCCACCGCTGGTTTATTTGCTACGCTAAAGAGATTTATCAGGATCTCTAGCCTTCGAAAGTTATGCGTACTAAGGGGGCAACTGGGAGATGGATCTATCTAGAGTTCAAGTTTTCCAATTGCTGGTTTTCAGCATTCCTTCATCGATATCGAATCTCTCTCTGCTGTAAGACGAAGTATGCCTAAAAGGACCCAGAACAGCTACAACAAGTCATTCAGCGATGGTATCAGTTCAACAGGCGTAACACTATTCAAAACGATGATTCTGATGCTGGAAATCCATTAAATGAATCTATTAATAACCCTAGAATTGGTAAGTTTTACCCCTCTTTTACCCCGCATTTTCATTATTTTGGACACTCCCCCTTTTATATATCGCTAACTTTTGAGTGTATCAGAACGATTTCTCCTCTCGAACATTGCGAATATGGATCAAACCCCTCTTGCTTTCGAATTTGGATCTACAGGACGGACTTACGATCACAAAGGCAATAATACTGTATTTTTGAAGGGGAGTAAAAGCGGGTGGGAAAAGCGTCAAGCTACTCTACAAATCCTGGTTTCTGCAGACGGCATTCCTCGATGCAAACCTCTTATTATGTTCAGAGGGGTAGAGGGTTATGGCAACAAGACACGACAGCGAGAGCTCAAGAAATATCACAAGGGGGTAGACATCATTTTCAACCCTAAGGGGTACTGCAACGCCAAGGAGCTTCTGAAATGGTTCAAAACCCAGTACAAGTGGTCTACTATGGAATCTCCTGCTGAGAATGAACCTCATCTATTGACTCTAGACTTTTTTGCCGCTCATAAAGGACAAGGTTGCAAAATCAAGGTAAAGGAATCGGCCTCCGAACGTCAAATTCGGGAAAAGAGCACTCTTGATGTAATACTTCTTCGACAAATTCTGAAGGACTTCAATGTAATTACTTCTATCATTCCCAGGGGTACTACTGGTTATGTACAAATGTTCGATATTTCTGTCAATAAGACTATAAAAGATTTAATTCGAAATCTTGAAGAGGAGCATTATAATGATAATCTTGAACAATAGAAAGTAGAAAAGTATTTAATAATTAAACATCAAGTTCTCTTGATAGAATGAGTTGGGAAAGCTTGGGTACAGTTTCATGAGGAATATCAGAGTACAATCGTTAAGACATTTCGTCATGTAAGTAGTCCTTTTTCTCTTTATTCCCCCCCTTCCCCTTCCTCTTTGTTCTATCCTTGCCTTCCTTTATTCTTCTCTATATGTTCTCTTGCTAACTTTAAATCTAATAGCTAGGATTATCTTTAAATCCTGATGGTTCTGAAGACCATGAACTAAAAATCAGAGATCTACCAGATTTTGAAATTGGGGACTTTTCCCGAACTCTTTCACCCGCAACCGATACCCTTTCCTATTCTTGAAACCCAAAAGAAGATTAAAAACAAGGCTATTGTGATTGATGTTTATGCTTTTGATGTTCTCCCTTTTTTTTCAGATAACTTTAAGGTGTAAAACTTTTTATATAGCAATTTATCATACTGTAAAAAAAAGAGCAAATGAAATATCTGGGAATTTCGATTCAGATAATGAAGTTATTATATATACTGATGATGATACAGATTCTGATGGGTTTCTTGATCTCTCTGACTTTGATAATGAAATAGATAATAACAATGATGGAGATGATATAAATATGGAATAAAGAAGAGAAAGGAATGTACAAATATACCGGCCGGACAGGCCAATTTATTTTATATTATACCGTGACCATTTTATTATTAATATTGTTGGAAGTGTAACTGTGTATTATATTGTATATACTCTACATTACAGTTGTAATGATAAGCTAGCTAGTATATGCGCTAAGGCTAGCGTCAGTACTAACCAAAGGCACAATGCTAGGGTACCAGCATGTAATACAGGGTACAGTAGTATGCGTTCTAATATCCCCCCTATGATCAAAAAACCTTAATTATCAGAACCTTAAAGCCTCGTTAACTCCTATAACAATACGCTAGCCCTCGGCTATGGTTATGATATTTAATCTCCCTGTGAAAATTCAGTATCTCATAGTCTAATATTATGCTACAGTACAAGAGTATTCCTTTTATTTCGTATCAATATCAAGTCCTAAATCAATACAATGTATGCAAAACCCAGGGTATGTAAACTGTTTTATTAGAATATCAACTGTTTGATCGATGCCTGCAATCCACAAAACCCTAATCCTGTTTACATCAACCATATCATCCCTGATATAATACCATCTGATATTTATATGCTTTATTTTGTTGTGAAATTTGTTCTTCTTGATTCAATCAACTCTACTCCTATTGTTGCAGTACAAGGTAGGAATAAATGGTTTCTTTCAGGATCTTTTTCCTAGATCATATACCAGCTTTTCTATCTAAGCTAAATCCTTAGCTCCCTCGTTTGCAGCAATAATTTCGGTTTCCATTGTATTCTGTGAAATCGATTTCTGCTTTGTTAACAACCAGACCACTGTTCCTCCATATCTTATGATAACTACTCCTTGAATTGACTTAGTTTGTTACTCAGAACCCCAAGTAGAGTCGATGAATGCATTGTATTCTGAAGGAAGCTGGCATAATCGTCCTGAGTAAACTAATCTAATATTTGCTATTTCTGCAAGATATTGTAAAAGGTGTTTAGTGTATATCAAGTGCTGTTCTTCTGGAGATTACATAACTCTCGCTAATTGTTCAACAGCGAAAGAGATATCAGATCGAGAGCAGTTTGCCAAATAGATAACTGAGCCCACAATTTGTAAATATAGATTCTTGTTGTCCTTCCCGAGTAGAATTGTTGCCTCTGCAGTATAGAGAGTTGTACCAGGTGGAAGTGGTAGATCTTTGGCCATTGATTCATTGATGGAAACGTTAAAGGATTCTTTTCGTATAGTTTGAGTTGTGAATCTTTATAGTTCTCTTAGGCCTATTGTATTCGATTTGAAGACCTAGAAACATTCGGGTAGGGCCTAAATCCTTGCATTTCCACTTTGCACTGATTTTCGTTTTGATTTTATCAATGTTTGTTCGGTTTCCAATAATTAGTAGATTATCCATGTAGAGAAGAATGTATACTCCATTTCCAATAAACAGATTTGGATCTGCAGAAGAAGCTGTGAGTCCTATATTTTTCAGAAATTTCTTGACTGCCAGCCACCAAATTCTTGGTGTTTGCTTAAGGCTGTAGAGTGACTTTTTAAGCTTCAAGAAAACCTTAGTTCCTTGTAAGGATTTTAGTAGCATCTCCTTAATTTCTGGGAATACCTCTTCAAAGAACTGTGGAATTTCCATTAGTATTTTTGTATCTGTTAGTTTCTCATTGAGAAACACAATATCAACATCCATATTATCAATCTCTAAATCCTCTACTGTAGTTTTAGCCAATAAAGTTCTTAATGTAAAGTATCTGCCAACTCCGGCAAATGTCTCTTTGAAATCAATACCAGCATGTTGTAGATAGCCTTTGATAACAAGTCTAGCTTTATTTTTAGTTATTTGATTGAACTGATTTATCTTGTTTTGTAATACCTACTTAGAAGTTATTAATGTTTTGCCCTTTGGGACGTTCCCTTGTATAATTTGAAATGTGCCATTCTCCTGAAGGCTAGTCAATTCTGACTTAATGGCTTTTAGCCATTGCTTACGATCCTCACGCATAGCCTCTTCTAGTTCTATTGCCTCAAGAGGCACTTCTGGATCATCTGTTAGAGTAGAGTTTTCAGTGTCGATAATAACAACTTTCAAAGCTTTTACTTTTTGTACAACTTGATTACTGAAAATCTTTCTCAAACGGTGTTTGCAGGTAGTATTCAATAGTTCTCTAACAGTGTTAGTGTTTGTTTGTGGGATATCCTTCTATACCGAAGATAAAGCTTGAGGTACTCTTCTCCTCTTTTGTTGAGATCCTATTGCTGTAGACAATAGACTTCTTTTTGCTTTCGAAGCTTTCTTATCTGTATCAGATATAAGGATCTTCTTGTCTGTACCAGAGTTCAGTTCGTTTAATGCTTCTTTGAGTGGGAAACTGTATTTATTGAAATCAGCATCTGCAATTCTAATTATTTTCTTGGAAATGAGATTGAATAGGAAATAAATATGGTGACTATTTATGCCAACAAACACGTTGTCTCTTTTTAAAATCCTTGATTCGAATTTCTTTATTAATTTTCCTGGGAATTGAAGGTTGAGAGCGAATACTTTGTAACTGAATACTTGTAGATTAATGAAATCAGGTAATCTGCTGTAATACACTCCAAATAGAGTGATAACTGTAGAAAGAGATCCTGATTCTCCAAATGATAAAGCTTTCGTAAATGCTTTGTTGCAAAGCCAGATGATATAACGAGTAGTAAGTTCCCATTGATCTTCTAGCATACCTGCTTGATTAAGTAAACTCTTGGACCTAGCACTGATATCTTGAATATGTTTCTCAGCAACTCCATTTATTGAATACTTTCCTGAAGGAGAGGGTTCAAATTGAATCCCAAGTTTCTTGAGTTTATTCTGAAAGGCAATGCCAAATTCGCTTCTTCCATTGTCTGTACGAATAATTGTCACTTTCTCTCCTATTTCCTTTTCAATATCTTTGATAATTTCTATCAGTATCGGTACCACTGTTACAGCTGTTTTGTCCTTTATATATCGTATCCAATCGACTCTAGTAGCATCGTCCGTTGCTAGAAGAAAATATTTGTTGCTGTTTATAAAGGGTATTAGGATCCCTGAGAGATTGCAGTGTAATTATCGAATTTTCCTGTATATTCGTATAACTGTTTCTTTATTAAAGTGTTCTTTTATTTTTTCAGCAAGATACGGTTTATAGGCTCTCCAGCCTTTCATTTTTGTTCTTTTTGCGAATTTCAACCCAATAGATCTTTTCTTTAATTTCTTCATCTGATCATAATTAAGGTGACTAAGTTGTCGATGTGCTAGCTTTGTATTCGATTCTTCCAGATCCCCTTCTTCATCATCTTGAAGAATAAGATATCCTATATCGATTTCAGGCGATTGGTTGATTGATTGATTGATTGATTGATTTAATTTACGTCCATCTTCAGTCTAAGACTATATAGGACGGCTAGACCCTATAGGCACAGAGTACACACACAA